GATAACCTAAGCTCTTACAAATTTCTTGTTGTTTACGCTAGTAATAATATGGTCACGCCATTAATGGATCAAAACATGAAAGAGGGAAGAATGATATGATGAGTCCTACAAAAATTCTGAAATTTCTTGCCATTGAAGCATTCCCATTCCAAACCCATATGAAGGGGAATCATTGTTCTTATTTTAAGTACAAAAATCTCACTGAAAAGTACCACTTAGAAAGCTCAGAAAGTTAGATTAAGAAACAACTCCCTAGGAATCTTAAAACTAATTAATTAGTCATTAGTTTATTACTTTGTTGTTCCCCACAAAGCCATCACCCCCTAGACCTCTCCTTTTTAAATTAATAATACTCTATTCATTTAAAAATCTTGGTTATTACATCTACCTATATCAAGACAATAAAAATATGTTAGCATCTAGTACTCTACTAGCCACCATTACAATAGTAACCAAAATTTGTCTGCATCGAACGTTGGTCACAGGAATAAAATTTCAGAATAATAATTCGTGATCGAATCTCACTAATGATGGTGTGGAGCAATCTTTCAAAGTGAGAGAGCTCTTTGTGCATAATAATGTTCTCTTGGACCCTCGGTAGTAATCAAAATTCAACTCCAAAGTATCTTATTAGACTAATTTGAGTTCGACCTGTTTGTTGAATATTCCAGTATCCAGTAAAGAAGTAGTTTGACTCAAAGTTCTTTAACACGGTACATCCGATATCCAGTAAAGAAGTAGTTTGACTCAAAATTCTTTAATTAACACGGTACATCTGACCTTATAGTTCGTTTGTCAACTGTCAAATACCGTTGAGTTTCAAGTTTACCTAAGGAAGTCACAACTCATAAGCATGACCCGCATACACATATAAAAGTCTATTTATAAAGTGCCCCGAGTTATCTTTGTACTAATTTGTTTTAAAATACGTTCACTCAACTCAGAAATTAACATATGAATCTCATAAGTATAAAGTTGAGAATTCAAATTCATGTGTATATAAAAAGGGTTTAGAAAACTGCTCCTAAATGTGGTCATGTCAAGATTCAACGTACTCGACATATCATGCATGGGTGAATTATTCTTCCATAAATTACCACAAGTAAACTGTATTTTGAGAATAATTTTAATATTATTATCAACTAGGGGAAGATGAGATACGATTTCATACCAACTCTAATACTGAAACATTATTTACATTAAAAATCCAAAATAAAATCCGGCAAAACGGTCGTGCACACGAGTGGAACGTAACATGGCATGGTCCCTGAAAATCTGCATCATTAATTTTCCCTAACCAAACTCAACAAAATTAATTTTTTAAAAAACAACTAAGTAATCAATTCAATAATTAATAATAATTATAATTATTATTTTGTCTGTACTGAAGACAACGTTTGAGAATGACCTGTTGACTCCCCCACTTTGAAGTTATGGTGTTTGCTAAGTGGAGTGATTGAGTGGCTGCAGCGAGTTGTTAACCAGCTCGATATGTATACCATAATACCAAAAAGCAACTTAAAAGTTGTCCCGACACAAGTGGTCAAATGGGTAAAGTATGATTCTCGTATCCAAAGGTCACTCTTTCAGTCGGCTCTGTCGTATAAAGACTTTTTAATGCAATTTGTGAACTATTACACATGAGTGTGGTTTACTACCCTCCATCGCACAAGATCTTCTTAGTGCGATTATCTCTCCTGTGTGGGTTGCTGACTATTACATAGAAGCGAGATTTACGTAGGCCATGTTTGGTAAAATAATTAGCTTATCAGCCAATTTTGACTTATTTAACCACTATTAATTTTTTGAATTGGTTAAATAACCAATATGAGTGTTTGATTAATTAACTTTTTGTAAGAGCTTATTGCTCCAAAACATTAAAATTCAAAAAATAACTTTTGCAATTAGCTTTTTGAAAAAGTCATTTTGTATGTGATCAGCTAATTAATTTTCCAAACATCTTTCTACAATCAGCTAATACTATCAACTAGTCAAACTCACTAACCCAGTCAACTAACAGCTATTACCTAACAGCTATTTACCAAACACCCCATAGTGTACACTCTCTAATAGTCGTTGTGAGTTAAAAAAAAAAAAAAAAAAAAAAAAAAAAAAAAAAAAAAAACGTATATACTATACATGTTTAATGGTTGATTTATGTTTTTAATTAATTAATTAATTAGACAATAATGATTTTCCAATAATGGATTGCCGGATCCCACTCATTCTTGTTTAGTTCCGATAAAACTCCAACCTAAATTTTTGTCGGATGAGTTTTCCGTAGATGTTTATATGAATTAATATATTATAGACTGCATAAGTGCATATAATGGAGATGCATGAAAGTTATTCATGGGATTTTTTTTTTTTAATTCAATTGTGTGTTATTACAAATTAGATTTATTTATACATATAGTTAATTGTTTTGGCAATTAGTATAAAAACTTATCATTCTCACTATATTTCTTCATAATTTAATTAAAATATAATAATAAATATACATAATAAAATATATATTAATCAAAATATAAATACATAAATATGAGAAAATAAAGTTTCATATAATGTGTATGTGTCAGTGCCATGCGTGTGTTGTGCTTGCGTCGTATGTGCATTAATTTATACACATACATTTATTTTTTTAATTTTTTTTTTCATATATATATATATGCCTCCTTGTTCAGCTTGTTCATTTCAAAAACTATATATTAAGGGAAATAGTTATAAAGAAAAGTATATTTACAATCAAATAATACAGAATAACAAACATTAAAGTACTTTTTAAAAGACCTTTACAATTCCATACTTTTAATGCCCACTTTTTAAAATATGATGACTAAAAGTGAATTACACAAACAATTTCAAATTAAAAATCTTGCATTATCATCTCAAGAAATTTGAATTTTACAATCTTAAAAATTAAAAGAGAAATAACTTTTGTCAGTTACAGCTTCACGTTTGAGACGTTAAAAGAACACCGTAATAAACGTGATGCAACCAAACGTCTTTTTGTTTGTGTGTGTGAACGAGGCTGGGCGATATACGCTCAAAAAGCCTTCCCATACGGGCATAAATGAAAGAAAATATAACATTCTCTTAATAATGTATTTTTAAAAAATACCACACAATAATGCAGATCAAAAGCCACTAAAAAGTTTAATTAGAAAAGAATTTGTTTGAAGAAAGACAAAATGCTTTATTGTTGGCAAATGGCAAAACATAATTTCCCCTATTCAGGGAATTTGAAACCCTAGCTATGGTGCTTACATTACCAAACCCATTACCTATTATTTGTCAATACTTTTTGCTTCATATATCTTCTTCTACTTTATGGAAACTCCATATAATAAACAAAAATTGCATTATTTAACTACAATTATTAATTTATCTATCTTTCGTCCACTAAAATTCCCTATTCTAGGGCACCCTGAAATGCATTTTAAAATGCAAATTTATACTAAAAGCCTATTGAATATTAAAATAATTCGAGTCGCTTAATTATAATATCAAAAGTCCATGTCCGCGTATATGTAATAATGGATACCCTTCAAAAAATGCAAATTTATATTTCGAAACCTTATCATCATCCTTTTTCGGCTTACTATTTACTTTTTGCATGCTTGAACATACAACATCTTCTTTCTATTTTCAAATTAAGATATTATACAGTACCGTTAATTTGTACATACTCCCTAAATACTTCATAAAAAAAAAAACAAAATAAAAAGAAACAAAAGCAGAATAAAAAAGAATAATAATTATAAAGAATTTGTTTAAAGAGTACCAAATACTTAGACATACTTTCCACGGCTACACTCTACCAAGAAAAGTTTGAAAAACATAAGGTTAAGTATAGATTATAATACTCCGTACGTAATTAATTAAGTTTGATTACTACTCTGTTTGGTAAAATAGTTAGCCTATCGTCAATTTTGACTTATTTGACCATTATTAGCTATTTGACTTGATTAAATAATCAATATGAGTGGTTGATTAATTAGTTTTAAAAAGTTATTCAAAAGTAATTTTTTTTCTGCAGCTAATTTACCAAATATTTTTTCTATAATCAAATAATGTTATCAACTAGTCAAACTCACTAATCCAATCAACTAACAGACATTTACCAAACATGCAGTATAATGTAAATTAAAGATTTATAATAATTAAATAATTAGAAAAAAAAAAAGCATTCAAAAAAAAAAAATTAGAAAAAAAAAATAAAAGGGCCGGGTATAGAGATGATCATCTGAGTGCGTATGGGGAAGCGGATCCACGTCAAGCCCACATGGTGAAAACACATGCATGCCGTTAATAAGTGATCTGCCGGAGAGCGTGAACGTTGCCGGTCACCGTTCAGAATTGTTATATATCACTCTCCAAGGTGGAAATTGAGCCCCATTATATTAAACCTCAAATTTATCCTCCTAGCTAGAAGAACATGCATCCAAAGAGTTCCTCCTGTATTAAAAATCGAACACTACTTTTTACTTTGAATTAGTGAAAAGTTAAATGTAAATTTACTCAGAAATGAATGATCAAGTGAGTTGGACACCATTTTTATATCATAAGATTATGAATTCGATTCTTGTCAACTCCTTATAAGTTGATTGATATGATCTATTACACATTATCTTTCCCGTGTAATTTAGTGTGATTTGTTGGTTGTTGTATGTGAATGGATGTGCCACTCTCGGACATTGATTGATTGAAAGATCCCAAAAACATATAATCAATCGATCCGTCAAAGAAGAGAAAATATAAATGACCGGTGAAGATTTGAAGGATCAAATATGACATCATGTTGCATGGTATGCAATGGTCAAAACTTGACATTAACAACTATATGCAATTCAAGCATTCAAAAAAAAAAAAAAAAAAACGAAGGTGTGCCTACTATTACTTTTCAGTGTAATGGTAAGCACTTGTTTAAACAAATAGTATCAAAACAGATTACACTGTAGATACAAAATGTCTTTGCATCTTACTACTTGTCCCGGCCCATGTGGAGTTGTGCCTCCGCTATCAATGATGATAAGCATTTGATCTTGAATCTAAGCAATTCATGGTATGAATTCAAAATATCCTTACATAATGCTGCCTACCGAAATGCAGTTTTGCCTTCGCTATTCGTAATAAGCATTTAGTTCATGCCATAAACAATAACATACATGCACTATATCTCTGCTATTCGAACCTGAGGGGTGTGGTTGACTGAAGAGACTTATCAATCCTTAACTAAAGGTCAAAGGTTGATTATTGACTTATGGTATGAAGCAGTCTTAAATTTTCAGGTCAATTATCCCATCTAAAAGAACCGATAGTAAAAATATATTTGGTACTCGTAGTAAGCGTCTGTCAAGAGAGGGCAAAACAGAAAATATCTCCTCATCAAAATGCATTTATTTTAGCTCGTTGTAGGAAAATAAAATTATGAAATCATAGTGTGCATTAAATGTAAGGTAACATGACCGCCCCAAAATAAATAGTAAAAAATAAAATTATTTTACGACCAGGGGCATGGCATCTCCATTGGAACCAGTGATTATAGTACCAAAAACAGTTAAATTTATGGGTACCCTTACCTGACTTGAAGGGGTTATGACCTTCAGAAATTACTACAAATAATACAAAAATAAAAATAAAAATTATATTTTATATTTTAGTGGAGGACCAACATCTCTTGCTTGAACAACACTTCCATGCACGTTGAAGGAAGATAACGTTAATAATTTTGTGTTTTTATTTTTCTGTTATTTATCGGTTTTACCGTCTCAATAATAACCTTGTTTTTTGGGTTCAAAAATTTAAATTTTTGCAAAGCATGAAAATCCGAGCACAAAGGCATTTTGTTCTCTTCTTTTCATAATGGATCTTGGACACTAATTAAGCTGTGTTTGATAAAAAATAAAAATTATTTTGGTATTTCTTTGGGATTTAGTATAAGAAACATTGGGATTAATCCTTGTTTTCTTCTTTCGTTTTTCCATACTGTTAAAAAAAAAAAAAAAAAAAAAAAACCTAATTAATTACTACGGAGTAATATTTACAACCTCTTCATTCTTAATCATTTCAATATATGCCCACAATAGATGTAATTTTGATGTTATCTATAATATTGTTTGAGATATAAATTTGACTTTATTATGTCACTATTATATAAATATTTGGAAGCTTATCAATCAATCGAGATATATAATTTGGAGATTTATCCCCTTCACCACTCTAGATGGCAAGAGTGGTGAGGGTCTTTAATTATGCCTCTTTTTTGTTTACTTAGGAAAAAATTATAGTCAACTAATTTTATTGTGACTGTTTCTTTGATGATTAGGTTTGTAATTGATCTCTATCTTTGTTGTTTAGTTCGGTTTGCAATAAAATTCTGTATGAAAAAAAAAGGGTCAATCAACGATTTGGTCCCTCACTTATTCGCGACTTGTCAATGTTGCCTCTGAATCACGTATTCATCGATTTAGTCCCCGAAAATAATTGTTTTTCGTCAAATCAGTCCCTATGGCCGTATTCCGTCAAGTCTCAGGCGAAAGCTCCGATTTACCCTGGGCATTTTGGTCTTTTCACGTCTTCTTCTTCATTCCATCGTCGCCGACGTCAGCTTCACCTCCGATGATGAGTTGTTGACCCCAAACGTCACTCTCCGGCGAGTCATCCAGTCGTGGTGCACCCTCCACGCCTCCCACGGCGTCGAGCGCTTCCCCACCCCAAAGCCTCCGGTGACCAAGTCTCACATCCTAAAGCTCCTCCGGCAAGCCAAGTCGACGCCAGAAATGCAGTGATGCTTCTCAAATCAATGCTCGAAACCACAACCTTAAACCCCTCGTTATCACAGCTCACGAAAAACTTAAACTCCTCTTTTTTTACCAAGTTGTCCAAATCTTGCGAGACAATTTCTCCTGCAAGGCTTCCAAATCCGCGCTGCACCTATTGGCCAACGTTTGCCAGAGAGGGAGGAACCGGATCAAGGCGGCGGAGGCCGGGGCGGCGACCGTGCTGATCGATCTACTGCTGGACACGAACGAGAAACGATATTGTGAGTGGAGTTTGAGCGTACTGGAGCATCTTTGCCGGTGCGCGGAGGGGCGGGCAGAGCTGCTGAAGCACGCGGCGGGGCTGGCGGTGGTGTCGAGAAAAATCCTGAGGGTGTCGCAGGTGGCGAATGAGAGAGGTCTGAGGATCTTGTACTTCATCGCCAAGTTCTCTGCTACTCCCAGTGTGGTGCAAGAGATGTTGCAGCTGGGAGTGGGGGCGAAGCTATGTTTGGTTATACAAGTGGATTGTGGGGTTGGGAAGAACAAGGAGAGAGCTGCTGAGATTCTTAAATTGCATGCTAAGGAATGGAAAAAAAATATTTTTATGCTTGTAAAGAATTACTCCGTATTCAGCTTCTCTGCTATGTTGAGTGACAATGATAACTTCATGCAACACCTACAATGTATGCATTCCATGAATCCTGTTGTTGGAAGCTAGTGACCTCTTCATATTTTATGTCTTGTCCTGCAGAAAATCCATATGTGCTTTTGATATCTTCATTGTCTGGCATTTGTCGCATCCAAAAGTGGACACAGCGAAATCCCGCCTCTTCCAAGCAGTTTTTAATTTCAGGCAATGACCATCTGGGCATTTTTAAAAAACATGGTTTTTTGTTTTCAAGTGAAATAGCCATGAAGCAGAGACTGAAAATCAATCTTCTAACGAAAGAAAAACATACCGTGAAATTAGGAAATTTCCTCTGCAACCGCAGCTCACACTCTGATGATGTGCCTCCATAAAGATCCATCACAAATATGCCACCTTTCTTGTTCAAGGCACTCAACGCATGCACTCGACGAGCAGAGAAGAGATGGAGCTCCCTCCGGCAAGCTTGAGCTTCTTCAGCGAAGCTTTGTCGAAGTTAATGAAGAAGAAGGCGTGAAAAGACCAAAATGCCCAGGGCAAATCGGAGCTTTCGCCTGAGACTTGACGGAATACGGCCATAGGGACTGATTTGACGAAAAACAATTATTTTCAGGGACTAAATCGATGAATACGTGATTCAGGGGCAACATTGACAAGTCGCGAATAAGTGAGAGACCAAATCGTTAATTCACCCAAAAAAAAAATATGTTGGGTGTTGGTTGGGTTGGCCGAGTTCAACTTCGAGACGTAGCGTTGTGGCTTACCATGGAGGGATGTGGTCAAATGGTTAAAGTTCACCTACTTATCGCAAATCAGTGCCTGGTCAATCGGCAAGTTTGCCACTATTTTTTTTTTTACGCCCGCCTAGCGCCGGTCTAGATTTCGCCTAGGCGCTAGGCACTGCCCGGGCGCCCGACTAGTGCCTAGCGCCTACCGCAATCACGTCACCAATTGGTTTTAAGTAGGATATGGCAATCAGATAATCAAATAACTATGTGGTTAAACGTGCTTGCCTTACAGTAGTCACAGGATGGGTGACCCCTGGAAAGTAAGCATAGTGCAGCTCTGAGATCCATCAATTGGTATCAGAGTCGAGGTCACGCGTTCCAGTCCCAGATGGGATGTGCCTGGGCGCAGGTCGGGTCAAGTCCAATCTAGGAGGGGGATGAGGGCGCGAAGGCTAAGGACCGAGTCAGGCATGCTGCGCAACGTAACTGTGCTTGGTGTTCAAAGGTTGCTGGGTGGGGGATTGTTAGGCGTCAGTCGAGTTTAGTCCCTGTTCGATTCGAGACGTGGCGTTGTGGGTTACCACCAATTAGTTTTAAGTAGGATATGACAACCATATAGCCAAAGAACTATGTGGTTAAGCGTGCTTGACTTACCACAGTCACATGATGTGGTTAAGTGTGCTTGACTTACCGCATTGACATGATGGATGACTCCCCGGGAAGTAAACATAATGCAGCACTGAGATACATCAAAATAGAACTTTTTAATAAAATTACACCACGTTAAAGTTAGAACTCTAGGTTAGACATTTCCGACCAAACCCAAACCCAAACCCAAATTAATTTGCAATAGTTACACATCAATATTAATAATGCATTCCTCTTAAGAATTAAGATGCACGCCATTAATTAACTTAGTCTAAGATTCAACACTTAGCTTGCATACATAATGCATGTACCATATAGAGACACCAGAAAAATTGTCTGAATACTCCCACAGGCATAACAAGTATGATAAGCTGGAAATCACTGGAATCAAGGGCATCTAGGGCTTGATGACAATTATATTAAGTTAATGATGATTAATGGGGAGGTTATTAGCTAGGGGGGCCTTGGGCTTGATGATCATTGACTTATCTCCCAAACACTTGTGTAGTTGTGTGTTAGCAGATAACTCCACAGATGTAACTACACCTAACCAAAAACAAAACCTAAAAAAACATTGGTATTATATATATATATGTATTTTCTTTCATTTTCTTTGAGAAGCCAAATGATATATCTTGAACAGACAAACATATTGTTGTGTTTGATTGGTTTTTGTTTTTGATTTCCACTTGTAATTTCCTTTCTGGTTTTCAGATCACTTGGCTCAATAATGTAAGAGGACAATCCCCAAGATGGACAAATGATGTAAGTCTGGTTTGGGATTTGCTAATGCTAATCCAAATGCATCTAAGCTCAACTGTACACTAAATGGACAGTTTTTTTTTTTTCTCCGAAACGCACTAATTATCATTCTGATACAATCTCACATCGATTCTACTATGATATGGTACTTAACTATAAAGAGTTCTTTCACTTACTAGACTGATCTTGTAGGACATTGCAGTTATATACATTCATAATTAATTTTATTCTATTTCTATGGAATGATACTTAACGTAGAAACAAAGTAACTATCCATGTCGTTACAAAAAACCTCATATCTGCTTCACAAAATATTATGAAATGATACTAAACAGTGAAAATTTCTTCCATTTATTATACCAGTTGTTTCAAATGTGCCAGTTTATTGAGTATATGTACCTATCACATTTGTTACAATAGCTCCATAGGTGATGGCATAGTAGGTGACCATAATTTTTGTATGTGAACAATTATAAATTTGTTTATTGTCAGCATTTTTTCAATTGACTCTAATTTAATGATTGTGAGTTTTTCTTGTTACTTAAAAATACTATATGATACAATACTTTTATTTATTTTTTATTTTTTATTGAATCCAAGTACAACTTGTTCTCCTTTAAATTTTTTTAACTAGAGCTGAGCTTATCACCAACAATTTACTGAGACTTATCACAGAGCTAACAGACTTACAGTTGTAATCTAAAAGCCTAACAAAGTCGATGTAGTAAGACAGTTGAAGCAGTAATTCGCGCGTGGGTTGCAACTGGAAGCAGCGCGTAGGGGTGAACACCGTACCTCGAGAGTGGTAAATAGAAAACTTAGGTAAAACCCAGAGGGCCGTACGAAGGTGAATTTATAAATGGCGGCGAGTTCAAGGTTGCCCGCCACGTTACTCCAAGCTGTAAAAAAACCTTTATTTTTTTTTTTTCAAAGTTTTTCGACATTAACATATATATATATATATATATATATATATATATATATATATATATATATATATATATATATGTATATTGAATAATAACATACTATATTAGTATTCAAAAAACATACTATATTATGAATTCTATAAATTTACACTCAGACACATATGAGATAAATCAAGCTAATCTAATTATCATGAAATTATAAATTTATGCATATATAGAATCCAACGAATGAAATTAAATGAACACATAATCTGCACGCGCAGTTTAGTTGTTTCTTATGTGGTAATTAAGGGTAAGGATGGATGATCGAGCTTGGCAGTTACAGTGTTAATGTTACACTCGATATGACGGGCTCTTTGTGTGTACTAAATATTAGTCCTTCCACCTAACGCACCGTTGACTAACTTTGATTAACTCATCAATTATGTCGTGGAATCGGGGTGTGGGGGCACTGTGATTTACCTATCTATTATTATGTTAGACTGAAATGTTGGGCGTCAGTCGCAAGATAATTTCGCCTTTTGTGGGTAAGAAAATAATACAAGGTGCTAACTTTTTATGACTAAAATGCCCTCCTGCAATTCCAATATTAACCATGTGACCTGCCAGCCGTTAGAAATTTTGAGTAAATTCTCATAATTGAACGGACCCAAATCAACCACCTGTAATCGAGTAGACAGGAAAACAGGAAATAGTATTACAAAATTATTCTTACAAAATTATGCATGTATAATTGTAATTTAATTAAAGCTTGGTTAACACATTGTGTAATTTCTTTTTCTTTTTTTTTTTTTGTCAATTTAGTAATTTTAGGTTGCATAGTTGACAATGATGAGATATAGAGCAGTTTAACCAGTTTCGGTATATCCACAAAAGCATGTTAAAATGATCATCATTTCACTGTATTAGACATATCAATTATAAATACCAGGTCCCCTTGCATTGAGCAACCCAGGCAAAGCCAACCTATTTTGTTAAGCAATTGAGCTAATGCTAATTCCGCAAAACGCGCACATCAGCCTATCTTGTCTGACATAGGGAATGCATTGGGAAGAGAAATATTTTTGTATTTGCAAGACAAATAATTCTATCATTAACCCCACCCCACATCAATAAATAACCTCATCCAAGTTATTTCTTCTTACATTAACCCCATATTATCCACTAGTGTGGATGCTCTTATGACACTAATCGTAAAATGGGATACAAATATGATATATTTTTCCATATGTAACTTATATTTTTCTCCGTACTACAACTTACATTGGCACATATGTTGCACGGAAACAACTTGTCATACTCCTAGCATGCATTACCGACGTTTATGCTATCAATTGGAATACTCACATTTGTTTCATGTTTAATACTCCATACATATAAATTCATCAACGATATACGTTACACATATAAAACTTTATGTTCATACGAGATTTGTAATACTCATTAAAAAAGGTATTTTTATAATAAATTATAACTAATACTAATATTCCTAACAAATTTTCATGTGCAGCTCAACTGGTCACATGAGTAAAATTTGAGAATAAAAATATAAGAATAATTTCATTAAAGTATACACAAAAAACGAATCGAGACGTGAGGCCTTTGGAATTAGGGATTCAACATTTAACTAATGTTAAAAAATATCATTAAGACGCACAATTAAACAGTAAGAATGAGTAATTATTAATGGTAAGCATTTACAGAGCTTTAATTGATTAGTCAAAGAAGTGAGCTGTTGCCTAAGGTTTTCACTTTGACTGATTTTTTTAATCGGGCCGGGCATCATGGGCCTGGGGGCACGTGACCGGCAACACGTATATCAAGACGGAAAAAAACTCAGCCGCTGAGTCAGCACCGTTAGATTACACCGATTGGGCCAGCGACGGTCTCTTGGCGCATACTTCACACGTGGCAAAACCATTTCAACAAATTTTTATATATCGAGACGGTACGGGCAGTTTTTTTCCATGTCGGCGGTGGTCGGAATCTTTGGCCCCACAATTTCCGGCCCCTGTCGCAACTTCAAGGCTTTCCCACCCACACGCAGATAATTTAAGGAGCCTCTACACAAGCAGTTAATGATACAGGTAACAACTGCTGTATAGGCAACTCAATTGGTTATAAAGATAAAGTTTAAAAATAATGATACATGTAAAGATTATAATCAAATCCTGATTATAGTCCATATATTATATTCAATATGATAGGCTCATTGTAAAACCGTGCATTGATCCAGTTAATTAATCACTGAGTCGAATAATGACAAATTATGCTTTTTTGTGTGTAAACCACGAGTTGGTTCGTGTATTTCTTTGTCCGTTTAACGATCCAGGTACACACGCCCGACTAATCTCAGTTCGTTCCGGGAGGCACGGGAGTTGGCCCAAAAGGAATTGAACTCGATTATCCTATAATTCTTCACGATAAAGAGAGCTCATTTGTCAATTGAACTACCATATTAGATTAATGAGTAATGACAAATTATACTATGGATCAAGGTTTACACTGCAATGTGAACAACTAATAAATATTTATTTTTAATATATCAAAAATTAATTTTTAGATAATATAGTTAAAAATGAACCTTTAACACGCAAATAATAATCCTTAAAAAACTTTAATGTATTGAAAATAAAGTTTCAATATATTAAAAATAAAGTTTATAGCGGTGATACACTTTGTAAAGTAGACTATAGTATAATGATTCGTCACTTTATTTATCTCTCAACTATCATGTCTAGTCGGATGTGTGGGTCCGGGGGCAAGATATTTTTAAGGAATGGAGCCAGTAAATTTTGATTTGTTTATTTTTAATTATAAGTCCGCATGTGAAATTCGGGCCGGGTCCTATAAAACCCCGTCGAGTCATCGTCTACTGAGAAGAGGAACTTCTCTCTCACAGACTCTTTCTCTATCTCTCTGAAAAAAAGAAAAACAAAACCAGTTTTCATTAAAAGCTCCGAGGCAGTGGTTTTGCTCTGACGGCAGCCTTGTCCGCCGTGTGTTTTTTTTTCGCCTTTTGGATCTCATCTTTCAATGGTGTCAGATTTTTTTGAATCTGAATCGCTCTTCCTTTTCTGCATTACCAGCGTCTCCATCAAGCCTGTTCTTTTCTCCCTTCTCTGATTTCCTTTATATATTGTCCAGTCCACTGCGTTGTTCTTCTCAAAGTAAACTTGCTTTTAATCCCGGAAAACAGAAAGAATGGATCATAGTATGTTCTGTCCGATCAAATACACTGAGCACAGAAACGTCATAAAGCAGCTGCTTAAACCTTGCGCCGCCGCGTTAAAACCCAGTAAGTTGCCGGAGGGTCCGAGGACGATTCGGGTAACGGTGACGGACCCGGACGCAACTGATTCGTCGAGCGATGAGGAGGAGGAGGAGTTGTTTGGACGGCAGCGGGTGAAGAGGTATATTCACGAGATACATATTGAACGGGCGGCGGCGAAAGCCGGGGTTGACGGTAACGGGAGAAACGGGAAGAAGAAAACGGCGGAGGGGGTTCACGCGAAGCAAAAGGCGGTGAAGAACAAGGAGGTTCCGGTTTCTTCGGGGGCTGCCGGAGGGGTTAGGAAGTTCAGGGGTGTACGGCAACGGCCGTGGGGAAAATGGGCGGCGGAGATCAGAGACCCGGCGAGGCGGGTCCGGCTTTGGTTGGGGACTTATGATACGGCGGAAGAGGCCGCCATGGTTTACGACAATGCGGCGATTAAGCTCCGAGGGCCGGACGCTTTAACCAACTTCACAACCCCGCCGGCGGCGAAGGAATCGACGGAGATTAACGCTAACGCTACCTCCAACTCCGGCTACGACTCCGCTGATGAATCCCGGAATCTTTCTTCTCCGACGTCGGTTCTCCGCTTCCGAACTAGCCAATCCAGTGAGGAATCCGAACAGCCAAATGAATGTCCGGTTCCTGATTACATGGAGACCGATCAAATCCGGGAGCCGGAATCGTGTCACTATGCCACTCCGCCGGAAATTCAAGAATGCCATGGCGAAACCACCGTAATACCCGATTACACCAACGAGTATTTGCCCACAGACATCCCATTCATCGACAACTTCTTCGACTACCAATCCTTGGAACAGACATTATTCGACGATACACCGTCGTTCGAAGATGTCGCCGTTAACCAGTTCGCTAATGACTTCTTTAGCGACGATTTCGGGGTGTTTAATGATACGACGTTTCAAGACCTCGGCACATTGGACGTGAACGTCGACGATTATTTCCAAGACTGCGGCGACTTTTCCGGCGTCGATGCCGTTCTAGCAGTATAATGATGTCTCTCCTTCAGTGTTTCTCTACTTTATGTCCATCGCCGCCGGCTTGCCATTTTTACGGCAAATTTTGTTCACCGGCGGCGACAAGATATCGGCTAGCGTGTTTCATATTTTCGTGTTGTGATCGCCGTTAAAATAGACGGAGGTTATGTGGTATTGTAATAAGTAAACAAATAGTAGATGATCGGTTTTTGTAATGCCAAACGGTTTCCGTAATGAAGTTACACCAAATTCTATTTCCGTTATTACTTCGTGATTTACAACGTTGTTTCTTCATCAATTACTGGGATTTTGTTTGTGATTCCGAGCCACGTTGTACTGCCACGGTGGCATTCTATTTGTCCCCACGCCAGTAGGCGTAACGGTTGGGTGTGGAATTGACTGAGTCAACCCGGTGTGAAATTAGAGTAGAAAATCTATACTTTTCTTCAACCACACAAGTTTGGCGTGTATTTGCCTTTTGAGAATGAATAATGTTATTTTTGTTTCCCCTCTTAGAGGGAAAAAAATATGTCAGTGTGGATTTATTATTATTATTATTTTTTTTTTTGCGTTTTCGGAAAGCTAAAATAAAGGTATTCGTGCGCGTTGCGTGCACCATTATAACTAAGTAGGCATAACGGTTAATATCATTCGATAGATCATGTAGAGCGTGTAAGCCAGGATTGACAAAATTTGAATAACTATACAACAATACTAAACCATATCACTTGCGAATCCATCAAAATATTCTTTTTTCTACGAACATAAATAACATGATGCCTCTCCCTTGCAGTAATTATATCTTCAAAATTTAAATAATTACACAATAATACTATAAATCATATCACTTACGAATCCATTCAACAATTATTATTATTATTATTATTATTTTTTGCAAACATGAATAATATGATACATCTCCCTTGTAATAAGTATCCTCTCGAAATTCAAATAACTACACGATAATACTAAATCATCACTTACGAATTTACTTACCGAACATTATATTATTTCTCATATACTGAACATCCCAAAAAAAACAAAAACAAAAAAAAAAAAAATCAACTACTCAATAACATATGAATCCATTTATTTATCAATGAAAAGTTGTTGATAAATTCAGTATTTATGGTTTTTTTTCATAAATAAATTTAATTTTTCCTATAATATATTAATTAAGATATAAAATAAGTGTTTAACATATAGTGCATTATTGTCGGCATATATTAACATGTAAAATAATTAATCTAAAAATTGTCAAACCGTTATCAAACTTAGTCTAAGTACGCATAGTACGTCTTGATAACGAGTCATGATCCACCACCTAAAACTAAACTAAAAAATTGACTAATCGCCACAAGTGTTATGGAATTTGGGCACACTAAATTTTAGGACATTTCTTTGAATTCCAACATTACCTATGAAAAGGATCTACAAATGTCTACCTCGAATCAACATTAATATTTCCTAAGCTGCAAATTTCTCCCCCAACTTTTATGCTCACCCACAAATTCCACATAGTACAACAATATTCTATTCAATTTAGACCTATTTAACTTCCTCTTTTTTTTTTTTTTTATAATACCTATTTAACTTCCGAGTTATATATTTAGGATGTGTTTGGTTGGTGGGTTTTGCCCATAGGAATGGGTATGAAAGTGATTGTTGTTGTTTGGTTGATAGGTTTTTAAAACACCAGTATGGGTTTCGAATACCCCATCAATTGAAAAACTCATACCCAAATACAATAAGGGTTTCATTCCCTTATTCATTCTCAAGCACTACTAATAGTAACCATTCCCATTCCACCCTACTACCAAACATGTTAAATACTTTCACCAAAACACATTACCATTACCAAGTATTTGATACCCATTCCGATTCCGATTCCTATGTGCGAACCAAACACACCCTTAATTTTCAAATGTTTGTATTTATTTTATAGTCTATAGGCGAATGGTCAACCAATGTAAAAGATGGTTTAGAATGTGTATTTTGCTATGTGTAAAAGATGGTTTAGAATGTGTATTTTGCTATGTGAAATAATACTTTGTTTTTCCTAGAGTTTAATAATATTTATAATGGATGGATGGAAAAGAAAACTACTTTTCTAAAGATTTTCTATACAAAATAGGTAAATGCAGACTTTCCATTGTTGACACTTAGCTTTCTTGAGCTCCAAGGCTTTCATGATCTCAATTTCCCTCAAAGGAGACCAAGTTTCCTTATTAAAGGCCAAAGATATCGTGGTAGAACACCATTTTATTTTTGGGGTAAAAGTACAACACCATTTTTCATTTCGTCCAATGGTTGTCGCTTCCTAAAAAAAAAAAAAAAAAAAAACATACCCCAAACTTCTTCCAAAAGGTTAAATTCTAAATCTTAAGGGCCTCTCACACATCGACCCGACAGAGCATTTGGGATGATGTAAATTACGGTAACTCAATGTCTCAGCAAACATGCTCAAATGTCGGTGTGCACAAGGGATCTGTCCACTTTGACATAATCTTACACTGTCGCTGTCGAGGTTCAAACATTGGTCTCTTCTTCCAAATACGGCCTACTGAACCAGTGAGCTAAGCACGTGCTGGCAAGCCTAGCCCAAGCTGTTGCTTTGGGACGAGGTCAAGGGGTCTTACACAGACTGTATTACTCCCTCCGTCCCATTTTATGTGTCTCGTTCGGTTAACAATGTTATACTGAAATTATTTTTAATTCAATTTTTCATAATATTAAGTTTAGTATTAGCATACAAAATTTGTATAGGATTAAGAATGAAGCATGAAGCAAAATATTAGAAGTGTTACCAAGACCAAACCCCCAACCTTTAGCATAACAACACACGTTACCAACCACCCAAACTACTCAAATTTAACGTACTAGAAGCCATAATGCTCTACTTAGCTGTGTGTAGATTGTTGACATCCAGGTAACGGGGGACACGTGTATGGCCAATATTGAAGGCAAGTCAATGTCGTATCTTTGTCAAGTATCCGTGAAGACTTCAACAATATAAACAGGGTGCATTGTCTTGTCTCCCTTTAGACATTCATCCCTTTGTTCATTCAATCCCCTAGTCCAGTGGCTTAAGATCTTAACATTTAGCTCATATACTAGGAGTTTTGATTCCTAACAACATCATTATGATTCCTAGTCCATTATTTGGCTATAATTTGTATTACTCTTTTGGGCCTAGCGTCCCGGGAAATATTACAATCATTTTCCTACACCCCATTCTTCATTTTCTAATTAAAAAAAATATAAATTTTCAATTACTTTTTATTTCCGTAATTAAGAAAACCTTTTTTTTTTTTTTAAACCAACCAAACGATCTCATTAAAATAACTCCGCAATACAATCTGGAGGTGCTTGAAGCCACTCTCCAAAGACAGAGGAAGAACCAGCCACCCGCGCTAGTGTGTGTGCGATCCGGTTCACTGACCTTCTGACAAGGCGAATTCTAACATTCGCAATGTCACTAGCAGTTTCACAACACTGCTTCATAACCAAACCAACATAAAAAAATCCTGTCTAGTAGAGTTAAGACTATTACATAAATTCAAACCTTAATTTGTTCAAGAACTTGTAAATACAAAACAATCAAAATTTTAAAATGGTTAACGCCCAAATATTGACAAGTGTATGCCTAAGTGGTTATATTATAAAATATAAACCTAGCTAGCAACACAATGATGATATATATAGCTTAGCAGTTATATATATATATATATATATATATATATATATATATATATATATATATATATATATATATATCACACCCCATGCATGCGTGGGATTGGGCTCTTCCACACTCAATCATGGCGACGACGAATGTTCTGCAACATCCATCTCTTCCAAACCTCCATTTCACGCAACGTTTGACACATGCAAAAACAGTACTACCAATATATACATATGCACGACCACAATCATACTTCGACACTACTAAGAATCTGTATATTATATCTCATTTCGACATTTCTCCTTTAGTTTCTAGTCTTTTTGTGCTTAATTTGCACGAAAGCTAAATTACCCATTTTTAAAAAGTTAAATTAAAGTTGATGAGTGGTCCTTCAAGTTTTAAATATTATAAGTCTTGTGTGCAAAATGGCCCCGTGTATTTGGTCAAATTACAGCTACCTTAAACTGACATCTATAGATTTATCAAATCTACCATGTTCATAGCCCTGTCGCCGCAGAGACAAAATTGTCCCTAGTTGCAACTACTTGCAGATGGGGATTTACTACAAACAAAATTTTGTACACAAGTGGAATATAATACACATACTAATAATACTATATTCTCATTTTCTATTACAATTTTTTCAATAGATGGCGAAGAAACTCTGCACTTATATAGTAGCCCATAATGCTAATAAAGAAGGTAAACTACGTCAGAAAAATTTTGTGCAACGAATTCGACTGAAAATGTGTACATTGGCAAGAACTTCATTTTTTACTCCATCATATCGTTAGGCGGTCTGTTTTTATTCATCAAGAAAAAGTGTGTGCCTCAATTTTTATTCATCTTCTTTTCTTCTGTAAACAAAATTGCAACACGTAGTGAAAATTTTACTCTTTATAATTAATCATATTCGTGCGGAATATATAGGACCTTAAAGGGTGACAAAACGTTTCTTCATGAGTTTGTAGTTACATTTCAGAGTTCGAACTCAAAATCTTCATCAATTAAACAAGAAGGGACTCATCTCATCTTGAATCGCAATATTCTTTGACCCCACACTTTAACTCTTAATTATTTTGGTAGATAAACTTTTATTAACTTCTCTCAAAGTAACAAGATTTTTCCTCGTTTTATTTTTGTTTTTTTGCTGTTGTTGAAAGAACCACTAGAGAAGTACGAGGCATGTATGTTTATTAATGAACAATAAAAATCAGTTATTATATCACCAACAATTCGATTAAACCTTTAATCCTGGTAGGTATGGATGCCAGTTATTAATATATACACCGTATATATAACTAATTGATACCTTTTACATCAAGTGTATTTAAACAGTTTTGAAAGAAATGTACTTTAGGTTTATATCAAATATTTTGAAAACGTTATGATGTCCCCACAATAACATGTACAAATTCAAAATCGTTTTTCATCTACTTTTAAGTTGCACCCAATATAATTGATTAAACTCAATATATAATTAGAAAAAATTACAAGTAATAACTAATAACAAGATACCCAATTACCCAAACAAATATCCGGTATTCGTTATTATGACTATGTTTACTCTAACTCTCTAGC